TTTCTGCTCTTGGCACTTGAATCGGTTTTACTCATTGGCAACTGTTTATTACTATTTAAGGATAGTTAAGTCTTTCCCTCACTATACTAACTTGCTGTATTTTTTTCTTTTCTCTGGTTGCTAGAAAACTTAAAGCAAAATTTGAGGGCCACTTAGGCAAGTTGGTAAGATTCCACGGCAAACATTTTCTACAGAAATAGCAATATGCAACAGAAGTAATTATTGTTGCAACTGCTACTGAGGACATTAATGCTAAGCACTTTACATGTGTTATATATCATTTAGTATTCATCATAATCCTAACATACAGCAACATTTATTTCTCCATCTTCACCAACAAAGAAACTGAAGCTTAGAAAGGTTATTCAACCTGCTTGAGGCCACTGAGTTAGTCGGTGGCAGAGTTCCAACTCAAACGACATTTCTCCAACATCAAAGATCATGCTTCTAGCAACTCCATTGTCCTGCCTCCTGTTTCTGCCCCTCTGACCCTGTTTCACTTTATTAATGAAATAAAGACAATGGACCAGGGCCGGCTAGAAAAGCACTATGGCTCGTCTAATTCCTCTACCAGAAGGAAAGCCGTGTGTGAGCCCCAAGGACCCAGTCCAGTCAAGCTGCCTACTGCAGGAGAGTGGGCGAGAGAGCCGGCCGCGGACAGCTCTGAGGCCTAGGCAATCAGCAGATGAGCACTAGGAAAGAGTCACAAACCACCGGCTGAACTGTGTGGGCTTCGACAGGTGCCTGCCAAGGGGTGTGCAGGAGCGAGTGGTGTAGACCCATCTGTGCCCTGGGCAAGGTCTTCAAATTCCCAACAGTTATAAAACCTCAATTCCTAGAAAGTGTCAGGAGTTTCCCAAATCATAAATTATTCCATATTTTTTCCTAATTTTTACATGTTTTTAAGTAATGAGTGACCATAATAAGTGAATCATTTCCATAATAATAAACCATGAGTCATTTTTAGTGGCAGAATTACACTAAAAGTTTCAAAGGTTTTCTTTAAAAAAACCTATTACCTAAAGTATGAATTTATCATTATGAAGCAGTTATGTTAGACAGCTTTTGGTCAGTATAGTAAGTACCTAAGAGAGTCAGCTTACAAAGGGAAAGGTTCGTTTGGGCTCATGGTTTAGAGGTTTCAGTCTGGGCTTCGCTGGTCCTGTGGCGAGACAGTGATGCGTGGCAGGAGCATGCGGTGGAGCGCAGCTGCTCGCCTCATGGTGGGGAAGCAAAAGAAAGAGGGAGAGACTGGAGTCCCACGGTCCCCTGCGAGGGCCCCCAGTAACCTGAAGACTTCTGTTCAGGCCCCATCCCTTAAAACATCTCACTGCCTCCCAACAGGCTAAGGCCGGGACCAAGACTTTAACACGAGCATTTTGGAGGAATTCAGGTCCAAACTAGAAACAGGGGACACAATTATATATTGCAATAATAATCATATATTTTTTTAAATCTCCACCTATTCTAGATTCCTTGGTAGGAGAAAACGCACATATAAAAGTACTTACGTTTTATAAAATATAATTCTTAAAATTAAATTTTAAAACACAAAAACATTAACTATCCTACTAAAAAGACTTGATCTTTGGTTTATAACAAATAGTCCCCCCAGAAAAACCAAATATTTCCTTTACTTTGCATTGATGTTGGTTAGGTCACTAAGAGGTTTTCAAAAGGATAACCAAGTTGAGCATTATTGCTTCACATATATATACATATACATTTCCTTTTTAAAATATAAACATATTTTAATGTCATTTATTTCATTTTTAATTAAAACAGCAATTCTGTATATTATATATTCATAGAGCATTGTGATGCTCTTGTTATATATTTACACTGTGGAATGATTAAATCAAGCTAATTAACAAATCAAAAACCTCACATACTTGTCTCATTTTTGGTGGCAAAACTTCAAACTCTAAATTTAAATCTAAATCTAAAATTCAAAACTTCAAAATTTGGAAATATACAATGTGGAATTGTACAGTATAGTCACCATTCTGTGCAACAGATCACTAAAGCTTAACTGCTCCTGTCTTACTGACATTTTGTCTAACTGAAATCAAAGAACCTTTTGATCAATCCCTTCCCTTTCTCTGTCCACCCCCTCACCCAGCCTCTATAACTGCATTCTATGCTCCGCTTCTATGAGTTCAATTTCATCCCATACAACATCCTCCAGGTTCATCCACATTGAAATTCACAAGTGACGGAATTTCCTTCTTTTTAAAACTGAATAGTGTTCCAGTGCCTGTGTTACCACCTTTTCCTTATCCATTCGTTCATCCATTGATGAATACCTGGTTGCTTCCACAGCTTAGCTAATGTGAACAATGCTACAGTGACCGTGGGAGTGCAGATGATTCAGTATATGACGTCATTCCTTTTCGCATATGCCCAACAGTGAGATTTCAGAATCGCATGGTAATTCTATTTTTCAGTTTCTGAAGAACTTCCGTGTCATTTTCCATGCTAGCTGTGCTGCCTTCCATGTCCACCACAGCACACCTGATTCCCTTTCCTCCACACTCTCACCAGCGCTCCTTATCTTTCGACGTTTTGACCACAGCCACCGTAAGGGGCATGGGGTGCTACCTCACTGTGGTGTAGATCGGACTTCGCTGATGATTGGTAAAAATGAGCTTTCTTTTTCACACATTCATTCACCACTTGTATGTCTTCTTTTGAGAAATGTCTTTTTAGGTCCTTTGCCCGTTTTTAAGTGGGATTCTTCGTTTTCTTGCTGTTGAGTTCCTCATACATTTTGGACAGTGTCCCCTCGTCGGGTCTATGATTTGATCTGTGGCTGTCTCTCCACGCTGTGGTCTCCTTTGCTGTGCAGAAGTTTCCCAACCTGATTCAATCTCAAGCTTTTCTTGCCCTGGAGTTGTATCCAAGAAATCTTTGCCCGAACTTTAGTCCTGGGTCTCTTCCCTTATCTTTTCCTCTAGTAGTTTCACTAATTTCAGTTGCTGTGTCTAAGACTTTAATCCGTTTTAGTTGATTCTGTACATAAGAGTCCTATGTCATTTTCTGCACGTGGATATCCAGTTTTCACAACATCAGATATTAACGAGATTATCCTTTCTTCATCATGTGTTTTTAGCATCCCTGTCAAACATCAGTTGTTGTGGGGGTTTTTTGGTACCAATTGCACAGAATAATTTCTAGACTCTCCACCCTATTCCATTGGTCAGTGTGTCCATCTTTATGCCAGTATTATGCTGTTTTGATTATTACAGATTCACAATAGATTTTGAAGTCAACTATAAACACAAAAATATTTTATCTGCTTGCACTGATTTTGGTTTAGCCACTAAAATCAAATTAAGGTAATCAGATTTTGGAAGAGTTTTCCTAATTCGGAATCTAGATCAGTGACTCATTCACAATGAAATACAATTCAGCACATACTTAGATCTATGCATTTCTTTTGTTCAATTTCTCACAAAGAATGAAAGGTAACATACACTATATATGATAAGGTAAATACCCAAACACTGAAAAGTGACAGCAAACATTATTGGTTGGATCCAAATGATGTGACATCCAGATCTAGCAAGGCTGAAAGGCAACATTGAATCACAGGTTGAAACTGGGAGCACAGGCTCAAATTTCTTTTTTTTTCTTTTTGGTACCGGGGATCTAACTCCGGACCTTGCACTTGTGAGGGCAAGCAGGGGAACCACTGAGCTAAATCCCCACCCCCCAAAGGTCCAAATTTCAAACAGAAGGACTTACTTTGCTTCCAAGCTTTCTCATTTCTTGGAACACCACTGACAGGATTTATAGAAAGTATATATGTACTGAAATATTAATCTTTATTTTTGCAGCAATGATTCACATTAGCAGCAAAGACATACACAGAGCATGGGAGCAGCTGTACAAAGGGCCAACTGATTAGACTGTGACTCCCTTTCTCCTACACGTTCCTGCCCTGGCACCTGGAACTGCCTACCTTTGCCTTTGACTCTGCCATCAGCATTTCCTGTGCTGCTTTCCACAATGTTAGTAGATTCCCTCAAACCACCAGTGTCCTTATGATAACCATTAACCCTGAATTCCCATTTTCCCAATTTCTTTACTAATTTTCTTGGCATTCAGGAAATCATGTATTTCTGAGAGACGCTGGGAACTCCAATTGAAGTCCCATTCTTAGGGGGAGAAAGCAAATGTTTCTCTTTTTTTTTGGTACCAGAGATCGAACTCGGATCCTTGCGCTTGTGAGGCAGGCGCTGGAACCACTGAGCTAAATCCCCGGCCCAGAGTTTGTTTTTTTTTAAAGCACATTTTTCTTTCAGAAGAAGCTTCTTCAGCTCTCTTGGACCTACAAGATTGTGCCCATATGGAGGCCCCTTGTAAAACTCAGGAAACGTGCACATAAGCTTTTTTACGTGATACTGTGAGGTCACCTTCAAAGCATGGAAAAATACCCTTTTGTGGTCTAGAACTCGCATAAATGTCTTTAAATATGCAAAGCTACTAGAAAATGGCCTTGGCTGACTCGACCATAGAAATGGAAAAGCAGGAAAAAGCATGAAGTAAGTAAAAGAAAATTTTTTTTGGTTTTTTAAGCACCTACAATGTATCAGATGCCATAACACAGTTTTCAAATGTGTTTTCACAATCTTTAAAATAATCCTAAAATACAGGTGTCATTCATTTCATTCTATAGGCTGAGGTATTAAAAACTCAAAATAATAACTTTTCAACAGCCACCCTGCTAGAAAGTGATACACCTTCAAAAGTAATGTAAGTTCAACTTCAAAAATCCATGTTCTTTCTATCACACAGGACTACAAATCCTAAAACGGTGTAAAGTCACAACATTTGTTGTCCGCCATGCCATCCTCTACTGTCCAGCTAGAGAGAGAGCTGGTACTGTGCGGCCTGGCTGCTCCATGAGCTCATTGCTTTTATTGGGAAGACACATACAATAAACACAGAATGATCTACAAGAACACATCAAATGTATTATAAAAAGTCTTTCTTACCTTTAAATATTTTACCAGCTTCTGAATTTGCCAATATTCTGACGGCAAATCGGCATTAGCTTCCTGGCGATGATCAGGTGGTTCTTCATCTTCTTCACTCTCTGAGGAACTCTCACTAATAGTTTCCTCAGCCTTGTCAACACTCTTACTAAGAATAACAACAACAAATTCGTTCATATAAGCTTCCCATGGACACAGTTACAATGTAATACTTAGTGACATGTATATCTATGGCACAATACCTAGAGCAGGCACACAAAACTATACAAAGACATGCACTCCAAAATACTATGGAAAAATCAAAATGGAATTCTACAAAGTGTTCAAGTAATCACAGAAAGATGAGAAAGAAAAGATCAAAAGCAGAACAAATAGGCCGGGGATTTAGCTCAGTGGTTTCGCCGCCTGCTGTGCAAGCACAAGGACCAGAGTTTGATCCCCCCAGTACCAAAAAAAAAAAAAGCAGAACAAATAGAAAATAAGGTGACCTCATGGAATGGCAGGTCTAGATCATAAAATATCAATAATCACATTAAAGGCAAATGATATAAACACACAAATCAAAAGTTTGACTTAGTGGATTGTAAAGAGAGGGGTGTGAATTATATACTGTCTGTAGGAAGATCAATGCAAATGTAACAGCATGGGTAGTTTGAAAATAAAATGAAGGGAAATATATACTACGCAAACATTAATCAAAAGAAAACAGAAATTGTCATATTAATATCAGATTAGGCGGACTTCACCAAGAAAATAACCAGTAACAGAGAGGGACTTTACATATCGATAAAACATTAACCCATGAGGGAGACAAGCACTCCTAACTTGGAGGACACCGAAATCAGCTGCAAGGTACATGAAGCAAAAACAGAACTAAAAGGAAAAATAGAAAAGTCTACAGTGACAGCTGGAGGTTTCAACACTCGCTCTCTCAATTACTGGTCGAAAAACCAGAAAGGAAATAAGCAAAGATAGAGAAGAAATCAACAACATCTTCACACAACCTACCACAATCCCTTTTGTGTGCATCTTGCTTTCTGTGGTTTTCGTTACCCACAGCCAACCACAATAAAAAGCATTAAAATGGAAAGTTCCAGAAAATAAAGAATTCCTAAGTTTTAAATTACACCATTCTGAGTAGCATGACAAAATCTCCTGCTGTCCCTCTCCCCTGTCCTAGCTGATGCGCGAATCATCCTTGGTCCTCCATATCCAATCTGTGCTACTTCCCATGGGCTAGCTACTTAGAAGTCATCCTGATTACCAGGCCCACCATCATCTCACAGTGCTTGTGTTCAAGAGCCCTCGCGTGTTAGCATAACCCGATGTGACAACACAGAGGCCCTTCAGCTCACTTCATATCATTACACAGCCACTGTAGCATTTCATCGGAAGAAGGGTGAGTTGGTACAATAAGGTTTGCTAGGAGAGACAGACCACATTCACATAACATTACAGTGCATCATTAAAGTGATTATATTTTATTATTAATTACTATTAATCTCTTGCTGTACCTAACTTACCAACTGCATCATAGATATAAATAAAAAAGAAACAGTATATATGTCCAGGGCTTGGTATTAGTTGTGGTTTCAGGCAACCAATAGGGGTCTTAAGAACACATCCCCTGCCGATACAGGAAGACTACTGTAATTTAATGCACATGTATAGAATGCTCTACCCAACAAAAGTAGAATGCATATTCTTTCTAAATATCTAAAAAAACCTATAACAAGATATTCTGGGCCACAGAAAAATGTCAACAGCTTTTAAATAATTGAAATTATATAGACTATGTTCAATGACCACAGTGGAATCAAACTGAAAATCAGTAACAGAAACATAACAAGAAAATCTCCAAATGCTGGAAAGTGAAAAAGCATACTTTCAAATAATCGAAAGATCAAAGAGAAAGTCTCAAGGGAAATTTTTAAATTACATTAAACTAAACGAAAATGAAAATACAACATATCACAATCTGTAATTTCTCAGCTAAAGCAGCTGAGAAGGGCAATAGATAGCATGAAATAGTAACATTTGAGAATCTTAATCCAATCATCTAAAGAATCTAGAAACTAAAAAGGAAGATGAAGAGCAAAGTAAACCCAAAGCAAAGAGAAGAAAGGGTATAATAAAGGAGTAGAAACCAATAAAACTGAAAACACAAAAGCATTTAAAAATGAATTAAACAAAAAGCTGCTTTATGGGAAAGGTCAGTAAAACTGACAAACTTTTAGCAAGGCTGATCCCCCAAATCTCCTCCTAAAACTTTTACACAAGGACTAGTGTCAGGTAAAAAATAGCATATTTTATAGGTATACAGATTCCACAGATGATGAAGGATAATAAGGGAAAATAATGAACAACGATGAAAGCATAAATTCAAAAAGTTGGACAAAAATGGATCAGTCCCTTTAAAAGTACAAAGTACCACAATTTACTCAAAGTGACAAAGCCATGAAATTGAAAGCACAATGTGAAAAAGATCATTTTAAATGAATAAAATTTAATTCATGGTGTTAAAACTCAAAACAGGAATCTCTAGGCCCTTATGACTTCACTGGTGAATTCCAGCAAGGCTAGAAGAACTAACGCCAATTGTCCACAATGTGTTCTAGGCAAGAGAAAACAACAGCAGGCAATAAAACCAGGAGAGCATGTTCATCTCTGACCAACTGAGGCAATATCACTACACATATTTTACAGTAACTGAAATAAATAATAGTAACAATACCAAGCACTGGCAAAAACAAGGGGAAACTATCTCAAACATTGCTGGTAGGAATGAAAAGTGACACAGCCACTCTGGAAAAGTTTAGCAGTTCTTAAAAAGCCAAACATATAATTCCCACATGTCAGTCATCGGGCATTATCCTAGAGAAGTAACTTACATCCATGCAAAAGCCTTTATGTGATGTTCATAGCAGCATCATTGTAATAGTCAAAAACTGCAAGCAACTAAAATGTTCTACAATAGGTGAATGATTAAATAGAGCATGCTACATCTGTACCATGCAATGCTACTGAGCAATAAAAAGACGCCAACTACTGATGCATGCACAACTTTGATGGATGTCAAGGGTATTATGATGATGCAAAAAAAGATCACTACCAAAGATGGATGATTCTGTTTATATGCCATTCTCCAAGTGCTAGAAGTTAGGGTTGGCATGGGGACAGGAGCAGGTGTGGTGACACAACAGTTCCGTATACTGATTGCTCTGGCCATTACACAAAACACACCATACTGAAGTTAGTCTCCTTATGCTGCCATTGTGCTACAGTTACACAAGCACTGGGGAAACTAGGCGAAGGATAGAATGGGCCACTCTGCACTATCTTTACAACTTCCCACCTACCTAAATTATTTTTTTAAAGCTTTAAAAGTTAGTTATTAAACAAATTGAATAATTATTATAATGAATCAAAAAAGTAAAAAGTATGAATGTAGCACAGTGTCTTAAAGTTTGCGGCGTTTTCCCCCAAGTGCATAAACTTTGTAATGTGGGGATTTCTGCCATTTCCTTCCAATGTTACTCTGAAACCCTAAGAAGAGTGGTTGACTCTTCTCCTCCAGTTCTGCCATCAAACTGAAAATCATGTAAGACTTTTAGTATTTGGCTTTGTCAACAATCATCACGAAATGTTTAATGAGAAGTGAAACTTGTAGAACTGGAAGAGTCATCAGCGATTAGCGAAGGAAAACCAGGCAGGTGTCAAGGCTGTGTTAGGACACAACTGTTCAGAATCAAGAGGTCAAGTGCAGAGCCCGGTATTCCCAACACTTAGTTCCCCGCTCTTTGCATTAAATTCATTTCTTTCCCTGAACTCAACTCATAGTCAAACCTTGTATTTTAAGTAGTTCCATGAGAAAGAGGTCTTGTAAATATACTTAAAGAAATCCAGGTTCATCGCTTTTACCAACCTCGCCAGCAATCGCACATGTCGATCTAAATATCTTAGGCCCCTACCCTAATAGTAAGAAAGCTGCCAACGGGCACACTGACGCAGCCACTGTGTGGGGCTGGCTGGCAGGACCTCGTCACCCCCACACGTACCACGACAACTGTGCTCTTCCAGATGAGACAGATGCTCTGGTCTTCCCAAGTTTTCCTCTGCGTTTTTCTTCTTGGCTCTCCTTTACTGAGATTTTTCGGCTAAAGAAAAATAAAATATGAACTTTACTACCTTCTGGCGATGAACAGGAAATAAAATGTGGCCCATCACTTTCATTTCCCCAAACGTGTGTGCTCTGGAGTCAGGGAATGACAAGTCCCAACTTCACCGGACACTTGACGATGCCTCTTTGTCCCTCAAGCACAGCCATGCACTTTGCTCATGAGGAAACGTTCTGTCCTGCATTTCTTTGCCATCGCCGTGTGAGTCCCTCACTCGACACCTCCCCTCTGGTGCTCGCTGCTCTCCACTACGGCCACTGCGCTTCTTCCTCCTGCAACACCACAGCAAGCCTGCACCTGCCGCCCTGGCCTCCCCAGGCTTGCCACAGTCCTTCACACACACTCTGCTCTCATCCAACACGTGCACAGGAAGTTCGTATATGAAAGAACAAGTGCATGGCAAGAGAATATGTTAAAACTCACTTCCTAGTTAACAGAGTCACCCATACAGTTTTCACTGTCAGACTTTCAGAGTTGCAAAGGTCAGACCCCTAAGCTCAGTGAGCATCAGAAGGGCAAGAGTATCTTCTCTTTCTCCAGAACCGCTTCCTCCCGACAGCTCCGGATTGACTCCCAAGTCACAGTCACCCTGTGGTTATCAGATCCTGGCAGGGAGGACACTGCTGATACTGAGACTAAGCACAAGCCAGTTACGATCCCGAGCACGTGACAACAGAGACCATTAATTACAGGCTGAGATTTGTAAGCTACCTGCTAGAGTTTAAGAAGAAAACTTCAGCTGGGATCTTGACTGCTCCTTAAAGGCCCCTCTGTTAAATGCTCAGTCTGCAGGATGGTGCTACTGTTAGAGGGCGGAACCTAGCAGGAGGTGTGTGGATTCTCGGGAAAGTGTGCTCTCACAGAGGACTGCAGGAACCTGGCCACTTCCTCTTCGTCCTTTGTTTCCTGGCTGTGCAGCGAGCTGTCTGGCTCCACCAAGTGCTGACATCTCACACTCCCACAGAGGCCAAAAAGCAATGCATTTCCTGGTCATGGACAGAAACCTCCGAAAGTGTGCGCCAAAATAAACCTTTTCTCTCTGTAGGTTAAGTATCTCGGGTATTTTTGTTAGAGTAACAGAAAGCTAGCACGATGGTCTCGGTGACTTTGACTGCCTCAACATATAAGTAGCTCTTACTCTTTGCTTTGAGACCTAATTATGGAGAGTTCCAAATGGAATGAGTTTTGTGTATCTCACACACCATAAACCAGTGATGGAGAACCTTTTAGAGACTGAGTACCAAACTGCAACCCAAAACCCTCTTACGAATTGCAAAGTGCCAACACTGCAATTAAACCCCAATACTGAGCTTTCAATTTAGAAAAAACAACTCATTTACTAACATCTTTTGTCTTAAAAGAAAAACAGTAACACACGTAAGTTTGCTACCACTGCTATAAACCAAGTGTCCACCTTGCACTGATGAGTCAACATTCTGAGACTCTGGTCTTTTTATGGAATTAAAGTTCTGTTCATAGAGAAAACCATCACGACGAAGGGCTGCTTAACTCCACATAATTTTAATCATTCCAAATTCTCCCAGCACACACCTAATCGGGTCACTCTCTGTAAATTCACATTTTCCATGTTATTTTATCATCTTTTTCATGGGTTATTTGTCCTGACTCACTAGCTACACAAAAGTGAATTATATTTTTCCCTTCCCTTCACAGTGCTCCAGACACTAACCCCGCTGCTGTCAAATATTTCCACTTGGAATATAAAATGGAGGAGGAAAGTGTCACCTTGTACTATGGAGAGACAAGTGAATATCCACTTTGCATTTTTCTACCATGAAACAAAGTTCCAGGAAAAAATAGGAAACACACAGTGCCTGAAGATGCATGAGGAAACCCATGTCTACATACTTTTTTCTGTCCACAGTGGTCCTCCAGTTTAGGCTTGGCTCCAATCTCCTGGCCATCTGACTCTTCCCAAAGTTAATCTGGTTCTTCTCCAGTTTACTCTTGTCTGTACCAGACACAGCTTTACAGATGACATCTGCTTCTTCCTTCTTAGGTACCTCATCAGTCTGGTTCTTTTGTTGCTCTTCACTGAATCTAATCTCCTTTACAAAACAATAAGAATAACGTTTACAATGATATTGCTTCTGAATTACCCAGTGCCATTGGAAGATTAACACTGTTGATAAGTCTAGGAAAGGAAGGCTCAGATGCTTACCAACACAAGTTGAGTAAGGGTACCTTCAAGACCAAGGCCTCTCTCAAACAAATAGGCAGAGAGCAATGTGCTATTTCTAAACTCACAGCTGGGCCACAGCACCCACCCAAACAATAGCAGGGTTGGACCTACTCAATCATCATCTCTAGAGAAAATAAAACACAATGCCCGTATTGACTAGAATATGCCTCCCAACAACATCTCTCAAGAAAGAAATACTACCCATTCTTCACAAAGAATTCTAGAAAAAGGAAAAGTACTGGAATACGTCCCACACCTATTATGAAGCCACACTGCCCACACACCAAAACCAGACAAAGAGATTACGACAGAGATGGTGAACCTCAGGACATGTGCTACAAAGGGCACACAGGGCCCACTCAGCAGCACCAAGCTGCATCAACGCCTCATCAGCCCAGCAGCTGAGCATCAGGTAACAGCGCACACAGGGGCAGTGTTAGCACTTTGCAACAGATACATGGATTTGGGGCTGCAGCTGGGCACTCGGTCGCTAAAAGGTTCACCATCACTGCATGAAGAGATGGCGGGGTGTAGGGGTCATGGAGAGATGATGGTCAATCACTAGGCGCTAAGTTACACTTAGGAGGATGAGGCTCTGAGGCACCATTAGACAGTGGATGACCACAGATTACAATAATCTACTGTGCATTTCAAAAAGCTAGAAGGATTATGAAAGTCTCCACCATAAAGAAAATGCTAAATATTAAGTAGTTATGAGTAACCTGATTTAGACATTAGGTCATACATAAGTATACTGAAACATTACAAGGTATCCTGTTAATATGTACAAATTCTGTGTATCGATTAAAAATAAATTTTGTAAAAACTAAAGGAAAAGACCACCTTTTAAAAAGGTAACTGCAGGGCTGGGGATTTAGCTCAGTGGTTCCACCACCTGCCTCACAAGTGCAAAGGACTCAAGTTCGATCCCTGGTACCGCCAAAAAAAAAAAATTTTGATTGCTATAAAAGGTAACTGCTAACATATATCCTTCATGAATATGGATGTAAAAAACCTCAGAAACATATTATCTAATTACATATATATCTATATATCTATATCATGACTACTATATCTGGGATTTATCCCAGAATTCAATATTAAGTTAATATTTGAAGATCAAGGTTATCACCAAATCAAAAAACTAAAGAAGAAAAATTATACGATCCTCTACATCCTCCCAGCAGTAATGGGTTCCCTGCTGTGAGGCCAAGGGAGGCTCCCCGGGAAGTGCGTAGCAAGGCACTCTCCACTCCCAGCGCAGGGTGTGTCACCAGCAGGGGAGACTGAACTTCCATCCCTATCCAGTGGTCATGAAGCACCCATATCACCAGAGACGTCAGTGGAGACTAAGTGGGACCTTTACTTTTACTCCCATCTTGCAGTATGCCCTGGACTTCCACCAGTGAGGTGTCAGAAAAGCATTGTTAAAAGATTTCAATAAAATCCAGAGCTTCACAGCATAATTCCCTGAATGCCAAGACAATTAAAAAAAAAAATGAACATTGCTCCTAGAAAATGCCAAGACAATAAAAAAAATGAACATTGTTCGAATCAGGAAGATTACAAATTGAATGAGAAAGGATGATGAACAGATGTGTACACCAAGATAAAATAGATGTTGGAATAATCTGACAAGATTTTAAAACAGCCATCATTAAAGCACTCCATTGACCAATTATAAAGACTTCAAAAATGAAAAAGTAGAAAGTCTCAACATATAAACACAATGTTTCAGCAACTAGATAATGTAAAAAGAACGCAGTAGAAATTGTGAAAATGAAATTTGTAAGCCAAAATAAAAACTCATTGGATAGCCTCAACATGAGAGACATGACAGAGGAGAAAATTCATGACTTTAAAGACAGAGCAAAAGAAATTAGCCAATGTGAACACAGAGAAATAGATTTTTTTAAATGTGGACAGAGCAATTCTCAATATCTAAGTGACCACCACAACAAAATTCCAACATTCATGTCATCAGAACACCAGAAAGAGAGGGGAAAAGGGGCCACACTGAAAATGTATTCTAAGAATGCTTTAAATTTCCCCACACTTAAAAAAAGACATAAACCTAAGATTCCAGAAACTAAGACAATTCTAAACCAAAGAAATCCTTGCTAAGATATGTAATAAATTCTGTAAAATTAAAAACAAAGAAAATGTATGAAAGCATTGAGAAATGATACTTTATAAGGGAAAAACAATTAAAATAATGGCAGATTTTCTATGAGGTCAGGAGGAATTGAAACATTTTTTTAATTGCTGAAAGTAAAGAATTGTCAATACAGATTGCTCTACCCAATGGAAATATTCTTTAGGAATAAAGAAGAAATGAAGACATCCTCAGATAAAGGAAAACTACAGAAATTGTTACCAACAGTCTTACCTAAAAGGATGGCTAAAATGAAGTCTTTAAACAGACACCTGCTAATGAAACCTGCAAAATCAGAAAGGAAGAAAAGAACAGTGGAAAGAGCAAAAGCTTGGGTTAATACAAGACTTTCTCCTCTTGAGTTTTCTGATTGAAGTACGAGGGTTGAAGCAAAAATTATAACACTGCCATTTAATTTTCAATGTATGCAGGGAAAGTAAAAACAATTACAAGTGGGAGAGAATAAAAGAAACTTAAAGTATACTTCTTTTCTATACTATACTTCACTTCTATACTTCATTTGACTGGTGAAATGTCAAGCCAGGGGATTAGAATAAATTACTTACATATCACCTTAATACCTTCAGCAACCACTAAAAAAGCTGTACAAAGAGATATATTCAAAACACTATAGGTTAATAAAAATGGAACTCTAAAACATGTTCCAACAATCCATTAGAAAACCAATAAGAAAGAGAAAAGAGAAGGAACAAACAGAAAACAAAATTAAATGCAAATTTAATCCCTAACATATCAATAATTAAATGAAAATGACTTAAATACACAAATAGATACAGCAATAGAATTTCATAAAGTGGTTTTTTAAGAGGCCCAACTGCATACTGTCTACAAGAAAATCACTTCAAATATAATAAGACAGATAAAGACACTCACTTGTTAGCATCAAGAAATTAAAGTATCCCCTGAATCTCCTTGTCTAAAAGAAAAAAATGGATCTTCTAGATTTTATATAGATTTAAGAGAATTACTTTGACTAGTATGTGTATAAGCCCTAGTGTAATATGCGCCTAGTAAAATATTCACAGTTGAAGTAATCAAACTCTCTTTAAATGTAAATATGACTAGACCTAATTAAATGTATCCTAAAGTTTATTTTAAACAAGAGAAATAAGAATAAATGAAGTCTGAGGTTGTCACTCAGGGGTAGATATACTAGTACACATCTATCAGAATGTCTAAAGTTAAAGAAATGACCATGCCAATAATTTTCAAGTATGTGGAGCAACTGGAGCTCTCATACTGCTACTGAATGTAAAATATTACAATCATTTTGGAAAGCTATATGACTCTGCCATTTTACTCCTAGATTTTATTCAGGAGCAATGAGAGTGCACGTTCATACAAAAATGTGCATAAGAATGTTCATAGTAACTTTGTTTTGTAGCTGAAAACCTGAAGTTACACTCCCATCCATCAACAGATGAGTGGATAAATATAATTTGTGGTCTATCTACACAATGGAAAATACTCATCCATAAAAAGTAATGAAATCATGACAGATACAAAGGCGTAGATGGTTATCAAAAACAGTGTTGACTGAAATATAGTCATGTCACATCATACAAAAGCCATAAGCAGAAGTAATCCGTAATGAAGGGAATCAGAATATAGTTATGCACAAGACATGAAGATTAAGTGAAAGTAGGCATGATGGAATTTTTCTGGGAATGGTCAGAATATTCCATACCTTGATCAGCGTAGATATTTGTGAAAAAAATAAAATAAAATTGCATACTTAAGATCTGTGCATTTCCTTGTATATAAATGTTACTTCAAATTTTAAAAAAATTTTTAACACAAGATAAAAATATACCTATTGGATTTCTGGTTCTACTCGGCAGACTAAAGTCTTTTTCCATTCTACTGTTTAAAATCATTCCCAAAACAATTCTAAGAGGAAAAAAAACTACAACACTCTATTCTAGACAGCTTTCAAAAGTGGGATGGTAAATGAATCAGGAAGGTAATCTACAGAGAATATGTGATGCAGAAGGCAAACTGGAAAGACCCAGGTCCCAGATGCCGTAGAGAAGAGGGAAGAAACTGTGGGGAGGGCGGAGGGGATGCTTCAAAGTCTCTATGCAAAGCAGCTGGTCCCAAGATCTCCACCCCTAACACCAGCGCCCCATCAGCCCAATAAGGCTCCTGTCCCCACACCTCCAGGAAATGAGAGGTATTCTAGAAAAAGGACCAAAGAAGCTCTAGACTCAAGGATTCCGGGTATAGAACAAAATGAGAATGAAGCCTGAGTCCAAAAACAAGAGAATTAAGTAAAGTATCGCCTCCCTCCCAAATGGCAACAACCCTAGCGCCTTTTCCTGCTCACCTTCTCAGGCTGCAGATCTGAAAAACTCTCCCGGGAGAAACTAAACCCTACAGCGAAAACTCTTATAGAACCTGACATTAAGGGGTTCCTGAACAAAGACTCTACAGGGAGGCCAGCAGCCCAGGGGACCAATCCACAAAAGAGTTTTGCTGCTTGGCTTTTTGGAGAAACTGAGAAAATTATGAGAAGCATCTCATGTGAAAAGGGGTTTAAAACATGCAAAAAGAAACTCAAAGGAGAGTAAGATAATGCAGTAAACAAATGTATGATGATTAATTTTACAAGTCAACCCGACTAAGTTAAAGAGCCTAGTATTTTGGTCCAACAGCAGGCTAAATATTGCTGTACAAACGTTTTTTAGACGTGATTAGCATTTAAGTCAGTCAGTAGAGTTTGAGTGAAGTAGATGAGGCCCCCTGGCATGAGTGGGCCTCATGCAATCGGCTGAAGACGAAGAGCAAAGACTGGAGGCTCCCAAAGAAAGGATTCTTCCCAAGCCTGCAACACAGAAATGCTGCCTGAGTTTCCAGCCATCTTCCTTAGGAATTTACAATTCCAGAGAGCACTGTCAGCCCTTACCTGAATTTCAGCCTGCTGGACTACTCTACGCATTTTAGATCTGCCAGTCCTCACATTTCCATGTGCCAATTTCTTAAAATATTTTCTCCTCTCCCTCTCTACCCCCTGTCCCTCTGTTCCTTTCCTTCCCACACTTCGTTACTGGTTTGAACTCGCTGAAGAATTCTGATTCACGTGAAAAACAAGCTTTCAAAAAAAATCACCAATATTCTAAGAGAGAGGGTAGAATATTCATGGACAAGAGCCAGATTCTATACACATTAAAGCATTAAAAATACTAGAACTTAATTTTAAAGTTATGCACAGTGTTTGGAAGACACAGTAATGTTTTCAGAAAGCCAAGCCTTTAACGTTAACATCATCATGGCAGAACCCTAAAAGCATTTCCCCTCAAAGAAGTTCTTGTGCTCATGTAGCTGACACACTTCTGAAGTACTACTAGAAAGGATAAAAACAATCAAAATATCGAGGTGTTATAAACAGGGCTGAGTCTTTTATACTTAGTGTTACTAATTCAAAAGAGAAGAGGAAAAATTCTATTTAGAATTCAAATATTACACTTTATCCTCTGAAGCAAATCAGGATCATTTTTAAATGCTACATTTGCAACAGTTTTTTGGTACCAGGGATTAAACTTGAGACCTTGCACTTGCTAGGCAGATGGTGGAACCACTGAGCTAAATCCACAGCCCAAATATAATGTTGATGCTTGACTTTTTTTTTTTTTTTTTTTGGTACTAGGGATTGAACTCGGGACCTTGCGCTTGCGAGGCAGGGGGCAGAACCACTGAGCTCTTATATTATTATATTGTGAAAACCTTCTAATAATCAGAAGCAGTGTCCAAAAATAGGTAACACCACTCTCCAGTTTTTTATAGTCTAGAAAGTTGTAATCAAGAGAACAGAACAACTTACCTGTTTAGACATATTTTCTGAAAATTTTCCCAATTTTTCTTTTAAAAATGTAACAAGGTCTTTATAAACTTCGCCTTTTGTCTCATAATCAATTTTCCCCTCATCATCAGTTCTACCCTTTGGGAGAAAAAGATTGGTGCTATGATTAATGTAACAGCAGTGTAAGGACCTGGGCAATACATCACAGCCTAAGCAGATGTACTGGGGTTTTTTCTCTAAAAGACCCACATGATAGTTCTTTCTCCCCCCCCCCCGTGTCTCTCCCTCCCTCAATCCATCCCTCCTTCCCTCCCCCTTTCTTTGTGTGGGGAGCAAGTCTTTGCTACGTTGTCCAGGCTGGTCTCAATGTCTCAAATTCCTAGGCTCAAAGAGATCCTCCTGGTTCAGCCTCCCAAGTATCCGAACCACAAGTGGGCCCTGCCGAGTAGTTTATATAGGAGAACCTAACGTTACCCATCCGTTCTCTCATTGCTTCAGCCAGTCTCTCGTTCCTCTGGCACGGGCCTTCTGTACACACGTGAAACTCCCCTGTCCAGCAGAGAAGCCGGCGCCCCTTCCTTCTGCTCTCCCACTGGGAAAGTGCATTGTGACGTCACGACCTCGCCAATGACGTCATGAAAGGCCTCGTGAGTAGGTCACCAGGGAAGCCTCCTTCTGCCCCCACGCCCTGCTCCTGCTGTGTGGCGTGCCGGCTGCAGGCTCGTTTTCGACGATCTTGTCCCTAAAAGACCATGTGTCCCTCCCGCTCCCTGCCTCTGCCCCTGTTGCCTCGGCCCTCTTTATCCTGTCCTTTCCCTTTTCCTCCCTGGCCCATTAGTCCACCATTAGGTTCCCAGGTCAAGTGCAGCTGCTGGTGCCTGGAGCAGTGGCCTCTGCGGAAACAGACTCCTCGACCCCTAGCGAAGATCAGAGGCCACCTGCTCTGGGGCCCTGGGCACCAGCACCAAGCAGGGCCCTGGCCAGCGTGTGTGTGCAGGAGACCCGTGGAGGGCCCGCCCCAGAGCCCCGGAGCTGGCAGGGCTCGAGCTGCAGCTTCTGCAGCGCTTGGGAACCGAGGGCGGGGAGCCTCTGCTCTCCCGAGGCTCCTTCGACTGCAGCTGCCTGGAGGACCGGCTTCCACCAGTCGGAGCGCTCCGAACTCGCCCTGAGAACTCACCCCAGGGAAGAGCACGCCCTGCGCGCCGCACGTCACGCACGGGGCCTCGGCGTCGCCCGGCTTCGCCCAGACGTAGCGCATCTCCCCGCAGCCGTCCGAAAACGAAAACCCGCGATCTGAAAGCAGCCGAAGCCCGGGACCTCCGCTTAGGGCGAAATACATGTTAAGTGTTCCATTTGTTATACGTTTATTCTAACGCAGCCGCAGCCGCACGCTTCACAGGCAATTCTGATATTGTAAGGGGCGTAGGAAGAACCCGAGAATACCTGAGGTGAATTCAGTGGATTCCAAGACTGACTGTTCTCCTTTTCCCCAGAAGCTTTTGAGAAGCTCTGTATCATCCTTAACAGGCACCGGATTTAAACGTGTTTGTCTGAAATATATGTTTTAAAAAATCAATGTAAGGGCGTTAAAACAGAATCTACAGAAAGTATTCTATCAGGGGGGATTGTTTTTGCAATTAAAATTGTACTTAATTTTACCCACATTGTACTCTTTTAACAACTGCGCCAGAACACAGAGATTAGTAATTCATGCTGAATGGAACAGGAAATTTATTCAGTTTAAGAGTCACTTCCTTTCGAATGATACCATACTAGTAGAAAATGGTGGGGAAATGAACATGTTGTGTACTACACCAACTCTACATAACAATTGTGCTAGAATTCCATCATTTACATGATTATGATTGTGCTTTCTTCCTTAAACAGCATGCTTCCCTCAGCCTATAGGTCTTTGAAAATGACTACTCTGTTCAGTGTCTTCAGAACTGGATGAAATCCCACTAGACTCTTTTAGCAATGCTAACTGCAAATTTTGATTTTTTAGAACCAGAGAAATCCAATAAAATTATAATATTTTACAACAAAATGTTTTCTTCACTTAATAGCAATAGCATCTCTATTTTTCTTGCGATTTTTTTCTATAGCTCTGAATGCGATATTTGTAGCTATTTGGAAGACTTCTTTGATGAAAGACTCACGGAGAAATACGTCTTAGGGTATCATTGAGAAGGTGCAGATCCAGTTGCTTCAGCAGTAGGGCAATGTTCGTCTTCGTCTCATTTTCGACGTCATCACCATTAGTGATTTTATGAAGAATATTTAAGGCACCGGAGTCTTCTTTCATTGTACTGTAATCTGAGCCCAGGATTTTTACGACAGGGTCTCTGTTAGCTGATAATCAAACAATAAATAAGTATCATTCTCCTTTCTTGCAGTACAACTAACAAATCCATTACAGGCTCTTTCTCATCTCTACTTATGAGAGTCTATTGTACTTAGAAACTTCCTTACGCCTCTTGGTGTATTATTACGTCATTTATATACACCTGGTCCTTTAGTAGGACAAAGGCCAAGACCAAGGCTGATTGTTGTTGGTTTTTGTTTTTGTTTTTTTTGTACCAGGGATCAAACTCGGGTCCTTGCGCTTGCGCAGCAGGCGGCAAAACCACTGAGCTAAATCCCCGGGTAAGGCTGATTGGTTTCTGCCCCTCCTCCACCCAGTCCTACTCCACCTTGTTCTCCTCTCACTGGCTATGGATCATTGTTCAGAATAGATATTCAGTATATTTAGAATTGATCTGAAGACCGAGAAATGCTAGTCTCCTAGGAGGATCGTACTAGAACTGTGTGTGTCTATATGTACCAGCACTGTGTTCCTAAATGCTTTCTTCCTCAAACAGCATGCTTCCCTCAGCCTACAGGTCTATCTATGCCACTCTTTTCCACCTATTCAAACTGCTTATATTCTCAATGCCTTTTGATACTATAGTTGGAAAAATCTAACCAGTATTTATACATGCGCCAAATTATAGTGAAAAGATTAAACAACTCATGATCAAGGCTGACATGGGTGTGAAATTTGAACCTAGTGATGGCTGAAAAGAGAATTTGGTAAATATAAAAAAAAGTGTGAAAATGAGGGAGAAAAGGTAAAACTCTTGTTTGGGATGGAGCAATTCAAGAAAGATGAAAACTCACGTTCACTGAGGTCAGAAGGGGGAAACATACTGGTGCAGAAAGCTTGATTTGACTGAAATAGTGGCCTTGACTCTCCAACAAGAAATGGGCTGTGCCACCAGAAAGTTGCAGAAAAGGCTTAAGTAAGGCTAGGAAAGGACTGCTTAGAAGGGGGAAAGAGGAGCAAAGAAAAGGAAATCAAGGGATCAGCCATCTACTCAGCACCTCACTTTATCAACCTATAGGCGAATTCTTGGGAAAGACAGAAAACTGACTACCAAATTGCCATGCACTGTGCAGTTTGGATCTGAAAGTAAAGGTTGTACCTAAACTTACAGGAAGGGGAAAATGGGGTGAAGGAGGACTAGTCACACCAAATGTTCTGGAGCCTGTGTAGTATGTCTCATCTATTGCCTCCACTCTGAATTCAGCTTTACACTCACCATTTCATCCCTCTTCACAAAAGTGGCTTTTATGTAGATTAAAAAAATAATAAAGAGTAGACATGAGATGTTCTGAGATTGGGATCTTGTTATTTTTTTTTAAGGCCCACTTACGCAGCAATGCACAAAATCCACGTACCTTGTGCCTGAAATCCACTGGGTATATACTTCCACACACTCAAAACATATCACACATTACCTAGGATCAGGTATTTTTATTGATAAGAAATATTTATAACAGGTTTATGGAAGGCAACAAATCACATTCTTTTTTGCATATTAGATAATTAAACAATAATGAGCTCATTGTATATCTTTAATGAAGAAGAAAAAATATTTCTCACAGAATTGAATAAATGTAAGTATTCACAGAAGATTGTGAATCATACTGGAAAGGGGATTTGTTAGGGTCTATCTCTGCTAAAGAGCCCAAATGCACTTGGGAGGAAACAAAGGATCACCCATCAAGCCAGGAAAGAGGGCAGCCAGATGTTGGTCCTCGTCCCTTACAGGACACAGGGCACTGGACTCTCCACAAGCTGAGAAGGTGCTCCTCAAACCACACACCAAAATTGAAAACCTAGGAGATTACTAATGGTGAAGGATCAGGCCTTTCGTTTTAAAGCAGAAATTTGATATGAACAAAACAGTTCAGCCAAGAAAAATTAATGAAGTCTTCATGAAGTGGTACCTATGACTTTTTACCTTTTGATTGCAGAACTTTTTTTCAAAAGATCATAAAAAATGATACCCCCTCCCTAGATTATTTTCTGAAAGTTCAGATCCAAGACTTCAATGTAAACATCACCTTCAATACAAGCTTGAGCCTCCTTCAGCTTTGCATCTTTGGCAGCAAATACCAGCTGTGACAGCTGCCCAAAGCTCCTCACTTTAATTTGCGGTACAGAGAGAAATAGTAAAGGCTGTCCATTTTTATCAACTTCTTTTGAACTGACTGTTGTTTCACTAAAAAATGAGGAAAAATGAAAGCTTGATGTTACCCAGATGCCGCTAGAAGTTAGATCTCGACATTCAGATGATTATTTCTATGTCTCATTATGAAGCACAGAAAATAGAAATACCTCTGATTAGAAGCTCATCTGTTTCCCCACTTGCACCCACACAGTTTTAACCCCCAAACTTCGAGCAACCATAGTGAGCAGCAGAATGTATCCACAAAGAAAACTTTAATGTCTAGAATTCATGATTGAACTCAACTGATCAGAGTTTTCATTTTTGTCTAACAATGTGTTGGTTTCTGACACCTTTTTAAAAAAATTCCTAGCTCTACAGAACCATTCATGATTTGAGGATTTCTGATGTTATTTTATTTATAAAATTTTTAGACCACAGTAATTAGTGGTTAGGAATTTTCTTGGCTACACTGTTTATGAACAAAAAATAAAGCTATGAAAAAAGGCAAACTAGATCCTCTCTGTGAATTATTTTCCCTACTCTATACTCCCTAATTTGTTCTACCTTAAGATAATAAGCAGGTTTTCTAAATGGATTTTTCCTGATCAGAAATTACTGAGTCCCTACATTGGTGTTTCTGCCCATTTCATGATTTTTTTTTAGGTTTGTGTTTAAAAATATCGAAGTGCTTTTATGTAACTAACTGTATGTCTCTACCACTTACAACAGTGATTAAATTGTCCACATTTTTTGTAACATGTTGATGTTGTAGAATGCTTATAATTCACCAGAAAGAGCAAATCCGACAGATCCAGATTATTTGCTGCTGACACTGTGTTAGTAAGCCCTTCATCACTGTGACAAAATGCCTGAGATAATCAACTTAAAAAGAGGAAAGAGGGCATGGCGCTGCACGCCTATAGTCCCAGCTACTCTGGAGGCTGAGGTGGGAGGATCACTTCACTCCAAGAGTTCTGGGCTGCAGTGCACTACGCCAATTGGATATCCACACTAAGTTCAGCATCAGTATGGTGACCTCTCGGGAGCGGGGGACCACCAGATTGCCTAAGGAGGCCCAGGTCGGAAATGGACCAGGTCAAAAAGAGGAAAGATCACATTTGCCTTACAGTTTTAGAGGTTCCAGTTCACAGTCATTCGGACCTGTGGCAAGGCAGCACATCACGGTGGGGAGCTCATGGAGGAACAACCAACCATAGATGAAGAACAGGGGCCAAGGTCTCAATCTCCTCGAAGGGGACACGCAATGATCTCACTTCTTTCCATGAACTCTGCCTCTTAAAGGCTCCACTACCTCAAATAACGCCTAGCTGAGAACCAAACCTTGAACACGTGGGCCTTGGGAGACACTTTTCCAAATCATTTTACTATCGCACTAGAATCAAAGCTCGCAGATAGCAACTATGGGAGGTAGAATAATGTCCCCCCAAATGTGGGCATCCTAATCCCCCAAAACCTGTGAATACTTCCCTATACATGGCAAAGGGGACTTTGGCAATGGATCAAGTTACACATCTTGAAATGGGAACACAATTCCGGATTACCTGGCACAAACATAATCGCAATGGTCTTTCCAAAGGGGAGATGGGAGGGTTAGAATCAGAGGTGATTCAATGAAAGAAACAGAGGTCAGAGATGCAAGACCAACAGCCAAGGAACACAGGGACCTTCTTGGAGCTGGAAAAGGAAAGAGCAACTTCTCCTTGAGCCCCCAGAAGGAGCAGAGCTCTGCTAATATGTTGAGTTTAAGCCTGAAATTCACTTTAGACTTTTATCACCTATAGAACTCTAAAACAACAAAGTTGTGCTGTTTTAGTCATTAAATTTGTGGTAATTTGTTACAGCAGCAATAGGAAGCTAATACAGCACTGGTACTGCCTGGTACAGAAGAAAACTGCCCTACACCAGCACCTCTGATAGTAACTTCGTACAGAAAGTACTTAGTACATACAGGTATCTGTGGGATAGATGAATAAGTAAAAAAGTTCTAGACTGGCTAATGACAGGGCTTATGCACATATTCTCTCTAAAACTGAGCTTCTGAATAATGTCCTTAGCATCGAGATTTCTTTAAAAAAAACAACAACAACAAGAACTATCACTATTACTCTATAAACTCATCAAGGAAATTGAAAGGGAAGCAAGGCTTCCAAATTCATTCCTGGAAGCAAGTGTTACTTTGATTCCAAAATCAGGGAAAGACCAACCCAAAAAGAAAACTACAGACCAAAATGCCTAATGAACATAGATGCAAAAATCCTCAACAAGATACTGGCAAACATAAAGAAGATCACATACCCTGACCAAGTCAGATTTATCCCAGGGATGCAAGGATGGTTTAATATACATAAATAAATCAATAAATAACACTATATTAACAGAGTCAAGAACAAAAACCATAAGATCATCGCAATAGATGCAGAAAAAGCATTCAACAAAATCCAACACACATTTATGATAAAAACCCTACAGGAAATTGGAATACAAGGTCTTTATCTCAACCTGATTAAGGCTATCTATGAAAAACCAACAGCCAACATCACACTAAATGGTCAAAAACTGAAAACTTTCACACTAAAATCAGGAACAAGACAAGGATGCCCACTATCACAACTCCTGTGGAAGCCTGTGTTTGTGCCTTGCTTAAGTGTCTTCTCATCTTTGTTTTTGGTACTGTCCTTGGTGTAATTCTTAGGTTCATATTTCAAAATTGCTTAATGCAGGTATCTTTGTTGCTTATGTTTAAAACCCTTGTGGAATGATTGCTTTTCAGAGATGTCTTCCAGATATGGCTTGTGTTTAGGTTTTGAGGCTCTAATGACTCTGAGGCTATTTTATTTTCCTTATACCAGAAGGAAAACTGATTAGATCAATCACAACATGTTTGGCCAAATGTTACAACCAGCAATACCATAGCATCAAGCACAGCTTAGAAAATGACAATTTGTGGCAGTTATTAATCTATCACATTTAACTATGTGAAGTATAATCCCCTGTGCCTCTGTAGTGAGGGACCAGGTGGCAGAAGAGCCGGAAGGCGGGGGTGGGGATGGAATTGGGCCTTGCAGGTGCCCGTGCTGCTAAGCAGAGCACTGGATGAAGACGGGGCTCCAAGCCGCTCTGGGACCTCACCGTGCTGTGGGCCAAGATGTGATTTTTAATAAAATGGAGTACTATTGGGGCAGGGGATTTAGCTCAGCGGTTTCACCACCTGCTGCACAAGCGCAAGGACCCGAGTTCAATCCCCGGTACCAAAAAAAAAAAAAAAGTGGAGTACTACTCAGCCATAAAGAATGAGAAGCTAGAGGCATTTATAGCTAAATGGATGCATATTGAGACCATACTCTTAAGTGAAATAAATAGGACTCACATGTGTAAATACCGAATAGTTTCTCTAGTGTGAGAAACTGAAAGTGTAAATAATGATTAAAATGAATAATTGATAATTTGAAATAGGAAGAAAAGGTCCAAAGGGATAGGGGAAGTAGGAGGGGAAGGGGAAAGGAAAGAAGGGAAAGGAAAAATTATGAGAAAAGAAAAAAATGAAAACAAAGTCTATGTAAATAGGGAAGGGTGGAGGGGGTGAAGGGCGTACAGGTAATGAGGAAAAAATAAGAACCAAGATGCATCATGTACAGGTACAAGCACCCAATGATAAATGTAAAGGTATTGTATACCTAAAATGTACCAATAAAAGAATTTAAGCAAAAAAAAAGAAAAAGAAAAAGAAATAAAACAACACAATGTTTATAGGTTGAGTATAACATTAAGGATGATGTAATTCAGGCCTTCATAATATTGATCAGAAAACTAGGGCCTAGAAAGGTATGGATTATGCTGCAAGTGTTTATACTGGAGGAGACAATTTGTCTTCTTGCCCACAGAGAACTTCTACCAGCATATAGTTTTGTTCCAATTCACATATATCACTAAGATACAGCAGAAAGAGGCTTGCAAGTAAAATATGGCAGCTTCAGAGCACACATGACTGAAAAACTAGTTTTACCAGAGAAGGAGAGGAAAGAATGGAAAATTACATTCTCCCAATGTGATTCTGAATGATTAATCAATTTGTTAACTTCCCAAACTCCTTTCTAGGATTCAAAGCACTGCTGCTGTAGGTGCAGCCACTAACAGATGAGAGTGCACTCTGTCTTCAGTCACATGTGGGCTTCACTGTGAGGTATTTCAGGAAGAGTAGTAAAATGAAAATAAAGCTATTTTCTCTAAAAAAAATTAAACGTGAGAAGATGATGACATAGGTTACCACGGGATAAATAGGTTTGGAATTATTCTAATGGAAAAGATGAATTATGCAACATCTGGAAAGTGCTGTACCTATTCAATTAGAACACTCCGCACAAAAGGAAAGAAGATGGCAATGAAATGTGAGAGCTTTTCAATATGTGACGAAAGGATCGGTTTCAAATAGCAAATGTTAATTTGGCTAATGAAGGAAGCTGCTCAGACTTCTACTGACTGCCACAGAGAAGTCATACAAACGTACAACATCCAATGAGAAGGCCACAAACACCAGTACATTCCCACCAATATCTGCAGAGACCAACACAACAGGTTAGCTTACCTATTTTATACACTTAAAATAGATTAAACTGACTTGTTTTGGAAGAAGAGACAGGAGAGAAAGTATAGCCACAAGAAAGATTGCCTTTATTCTAAAACACGCAAGGACACGATTATATGACAGAAAATTATATGATAGAAGCACATCCAAGAGACTTCAGTTCAAGCCTTTCCTGATGACTTTGACCTTACGCTTGGACACACAGACCTGAATCCTATCTGAAAGAAGAATAGTAAGGGCCAGAAAAGTGTATAGGAACCAAAAGGCATAGATAAGGTAGCTGGACTACTTTAACAATGAATTCTTCTGGCTACTGAGGCCATTTCTGGTTTTTATCACTCATTTTGTTGCTAGAAATAACAAACACCACGTGACTATAGCTTGCTGGACTTCTTTGGTCTGGTGCACGGGTGAGACCTGGATGTGAAAGCATTTAGTATTTTCTGCTATTAGCAAAATCTTAGCTGTATCCTTGCTTTCTTCAAGGCAATCAGCACCTCTCTAGTTTTCATTAGAGCCACACTAGCTTGGTTTCCTTCGCATACAATAAGCAATGCTCCCAGATCTCTCCCATCCCTTCCAACACCAAAGACATTACCACTAGAGGCCAGAAACAAAAATGACAGCCAGAAGCATTACCCTAAGGAAAGGGTGCCTGCTAAATCCCACAGAGGTAGGACAAGGGGTAGTTGTTTCCAAATATATACAGTGTTACAATGTTAAAATATAATGTTTAGAACAGAAGACTATACATAAAGACAGCATGCAGAAATTTAAGCATGGAAATAAAGCAAAAAAGAATTTGGACAAGAATAGAGAAAGAAAAACAGTGACACATTTGAGGCATGCATAACACCCACCTACCTAGGAAGCAGATGTGGTCATGATTGTGCTTGGAACACAAAATTAACACACAGTCCAGATACAACGGCAATCACGATTTTTTTCTGTCATATGATTTAAAGCCATCTTTGAACAAAGGAATTAATATATTTCTAATTGGTTTTGCAGATGTTTTTTATCTTTTCAAGAGTTAGGAAAAACACTGAACTTCGGTGGGATCAACAAAGAATGGGGGACTCATCCAGAAATGACAAGAACTTGGGGAGAAAGTGACCTTTGGCAGAGTAAGCCATAAAATACACCAATAAAAATTTTCAAAATATTCACAGAGAAGGAAAACCAATCTAAGAATTAAAGAATTCTTAGATGCAGGTCAAGAATGGTTTTGCAGTTCTAAAAATGAAATTCTGACCCTATGGTCACAAATAATCCCAAAGGGGAAAGAGGAAAAAGACATCTTATAGGAAGCTTTGGGTAGCTCCGGAACTATTTTTATAAGGTCAGACTATCAAACTTTATATGCAAAACCAAAAAAAGACAAGATGACAGAAAAAAGCTGTGTAAAAGGCACAATAAACTAAGGATGCATTATTACACATAATTATGTGTTTATATAATTTTATGTATATACGTGGCTGTTCATTTTTTTCGAGTACTGTGAATTGAACCCAGGGCCTTCACACTGAGCTACATCTCCAGCCCATTTTTTATTTTTACTTTTTAAATTTTTGAGACATGATCTTTGCTAAATCACTACTTTGCCTGTGGGAGGGATTTTGTCTGTATCAGATGTCACAAAACCAGAGGCTCCTAGCACGGAGCAGCCAATAGGGATGGGTGGAAAGGCCAAGCATGAAGCAGCAGTGGTGGCCTGGAGAATGTATCCTCTACCAAGAGAAAATGAAGTTTAAATTTATAAATTAAATAAAGTACTGTGTTGGGTAATTGAAATAGCCTCAAATTTCAATGACTGATTCCCATTGGGAATCCCTAATTTATTTTTTATTTTTATTTATTTTTATTTTTTTTGGTACCGGGGATCGAACTCTGATCCTTGCGCTTGCACAGCAGGTAAGGAATCTCTAATTTAGGGGATTTCTGAGACACATGGAGGCTAAGTGGCTTTTCCAAAGCACACAACCAATTAATAAAAATATGTACAATAATGAAATTAAATTCTAGAAACAATTAAGTGGCTTACCTGACAATATAACCTGATTCAAAGGCTGAGGGCTCCAAATTTGTTTTCCACTCAAGTGGTTCTACAAAAACAAATTTAGCTTCTTGGGGGTGATCATAAATAAAATGCTCCACAAATATAGTGATCTCCTGCAGTAATACTTCATTCAGCGGGGTGAGCTCCAGGGTCCCCGTCCTGTAGCCGGCTGCTGTCCACTGCCCCAGTCTTGTCAGCGCCAAACCCATGGTTTCCACTAATCCCCCTCGGGTCTGAGCTCACACACACTCTGCATGAGGGCAGAAAGAGTGAGACAGAGTCAACACCGTCCAGCGCAGTTTCCATTTTCAAGATTTAAAATTAGTTTTATTCAACCCACAGTCTGCTTCGTAATCTTAGAGATTCATTTTTTAATTATGAAATGGCTCTTCAATTTGATAAAATAGTCAAAAAGCTCTAAGTAAAACTTACTGGTATCAACAGATTTTCCAATATCTGCCTGCCCTGAAATCAGTAACTTTTTTCTAACATCATTGGGCCTAAGAAGGAGAATACAGGTAGCTGGACAGAAAATCTACGCAGAAAACTGCAAAAGTGGAAAAAAGAACAGAAGGAGGCTGGCAGCGAGTATTTGGGTTCATAGCTCTGCTAGGGGCTGGAGGTTTAAATGAGAAATTCCCACTTGATCTGGGCCACAAGTCATTCAGAAATATGCTGAAGGCGCTCTGTAATTCTGACTTTCTTTGGTCATAACATCTGTATCAGCACAATGATGACAGATAAACATGATTCTGAGAGTGCTGAAAACACCCTAAGCGCCTTCTGAATTAACAATAAGAACATAATGGTGAATTATAATTTCAATTTTTTCTGAAAAGTAGTACAGGACATATTGATCCTATTGCAAGAATATTTGAGCAATTCAAATGCTGGATTCCCTGGTTCAAATTGCAGATTTGTAAGAAAAAGTAAGGGTCTTTTTTCAATGCATTTATCTAAGCAGATTTTCAAAAGTCTAGCAATAAAATGTAAAAGAAATTCAATGAAATAAATTTCACTCTGGTTACATAGGAAAGTTTTAAAAGATGATCTTTAAAAAGATTACATCTGTAACACTAAATAAAAACCATGTTTTAAAAAAACAGGTTCTGATATAAATGCATAAAGGGTATTATTTTCAGATAATCTATACTGGTTTGTTTTTTCACTTGTAATAACATCGATCCTTAAAGTCTGCCCTCTAGAATATTAGGTCAATGGTCATAAAGCTAAATATAGAATATTGCAGCTTTTTTCATCCATCACTATTAAAAAGGGTCAGAAGTATCTGATTCTACAGATAGGACTTGGAGGTTTTACTTTCTGTATCGTATTAAACCTGGAAATCCAATAACAGGATCTCAGGACTCTCAGTAGGTAAACTCTTGCTGCTGGAAGCCGTAAAGAAACATTGCACATTTGTCTACATAGTTACCAGAACAATGGGAAGGGGACATCACTGGCATTCAGTAAGGAGGACCAACGATGGAAAATGTCCTGAGTAGGACTGCACCTACCAAGCAGGAGGAAGTCTGCTGTGACCTCCAGGCATCTAGCAAGTAAAAAACGTCAGATAAATAATGAGTCTAGAAGGGTTCTCCACTTTACAAAATTCACAAAGTATTTTTTCACAGTTTTAGTATATTCTGAATTTTTTAGGACTGTAACTGTAATAGAAGTGAAAGGGAAATCATACACACTTCATTTTACATGGAACTTTACCAAGAGTTCAGCATTTTGGAAATCATACCATTAATGCCAATATTATTCATAAAGTTTTAGCTGCGATGGTGCATCTGTATCAGCATGCATTTGGAGTTACTGTGTCCGTGGTAATTCTAGGTAAGGCTGGAGTGTATCTGACAACTTTCTTATGTATTCTAGTGTAGTAGTACCCAAGCATTTACAATTATTTTCCTTCATTTAACAAACAGAGCATTTTCAACATCTAAAACTACATTATAAAGGTAAGATTATTATTGGTGGTCTTGATTTCAGAATAGCAAAGTATAACTACAAAATATTTGCTATACAAACCAAATGTTGGATCAGATACACTTGAGAATAGCTGATCTAATTACATAGCTTCATACAAGTAAATAGAGATAAATTCTAGTGAGATGAAATGTATACAATTAACATACAATTTTTTTCTGTGAACTTCTTGTTTCTAATTGCTAATTGATGGAAAATGCTTTAGATTCAAACATATAATCACTTACTGGTGCTTCTGTGATCTTTGAGTTTCCCAATGTTATGAAAATAAGTATAAACTAGGAAAAATAGCCTTCTTTATCTTATATAGAAAAGCTTAGGTAGACAGTTCTGCCTGCTTTTAATTTTAAGCAAAATATTTGTTGTGGTGATCTCATAAAGATACGTAATATATGAATTATTTCTTCCCTGCAACTGTTATTTTTTTAAAATGTGAAACTGCGTAACTTAAAGCTTGCTAAAGTCAACATACCATATAGCAGCTCCTTGGAAAACACTTAGCAAGGGAACTAAGAAACGCAAAGACCTCTCTGTCACGAGAAACTTTTGTAGAACGTTAAGTGCAACTCACCCTTGAATGTGTTTCAATTGGTCCCAGAATCACAACAAGGGGCTGGCTTTACTCAACAAGGCTGCTTAGCAGAAGCCCAAAGGTAAACTGGGCCTGACAATCCAGAAGGCCAGAGCAGAAGAGTACTATTAGAAGAAAATAAGTGACGGTCAAACATAGTCAGTGTAACTCAGGTAAAAATACAAAAACCAAGATTGTTTCATCAAGACAGGCAGCTCACAGTCTGCACCTGGCACCAGGCCCCTGGTTCTTTAAGCCTAACGTGTAACCATGGTTACCCAATGAACACAAATACATGGCACATATATTTGAATGGAAATAAAATTTTAAAAGAAAAGAAGTTCAAAGATAAAGAAGGGGGAAAAGTTTTCTGTAAGTTTGTTCACAGCGACTGGGAATCACGCTTTCTCTACCAATCCAGCCAGGCACGATGTTTCTTCTTAAGCGTCAGCTTGAAGCTTCGCTCTCTCGAATAAAATGAAACCCATCCGAGTTATTTCCGTGGCCTGGGCCGAGCCCCAGGAGGGCGAGAGGCGCCCAGAGTACCGGGCCGAGCGGGTCCCCGCACCCGGCCGCGCTCACCTGTAGCCCTGCCGCCGCGTCTTCCCGTTGCTAGGACGCCGCGCAGCCCGCAGATTGGTTCCGGCGGTCCAGACCCGCACCGCCCGGTCCCAGCCCAACCGCTGCGCCGAACCCGGGCGGCGACGTCGGCCCCGCTGCGTCCCACCTGCGCCCCGCTGGGAACAGTTCCTCCTCCCTGGGCGCCCAGGCTGGGTCCCCGCCGCCCGGCCCTGGGAGGTGTCTGCTTCCTCCACACTCGCGAGCAGCCTGGGGCTTTCTGCAATTTAACACGGAGCAGGAAGCAAACGGGAACAGTCCTTAGAAACAGTTTCTGAAATGGAAACAAAGTCTTTGGAGATAGGGAGGGCAGGGGAAGGGGGAACAATAAGAACCAAGATGGATTATGTAAAGGTGCAAATTTCCATGATGGATGTATTATATTGTATACCTATGATGTGGCAATAAAATAAAATTTAAATAAAAATAAAAATAGGGCCAGGGATTTAGCTCAGTGGTTCCCGAGCCTGCCTAACAAGCGCAAGGTCCTGAGTTCGGTCCCCGGTACCAAAAATAAATAAATAAATAATAAAAAAAATAAAAAAGAAACACAGTTTCTGTTCTGAGTCTCCACTGGCCTGCACACCGTGTATTCCGCTTACATTTCGCAGAGCCCTCAAAAAAATAGTGTAAGGCTGCTTGTTCTCCTAGGAGATCGGAGGCTTTCATCTTTCCCTGAAAAGTAGATGTGGTACTACACCAATCCCCATCAGAAAGGCAGAAACTGCGCTTCAGTCGTCTACTCCATAAAATTGGAATCAAGTGAGAACATTTCTCCCATCTTTTATTATTATTATTGTTGTTATTATTGCAGTTTACCTTTGTCTGTGAAGATGGTCTTAACCCCACATTAGCCATTCTGCCGAAAAGGATGCGGGGAGCGGGGCTGAGAGAGTGTGGAAAAAGAGAATTACTGAGGCTGGGAGAAAGGAGGAGGCACAGTACACAGTTTCAGCAGGCAGCGTTTGGGGACCAAATGCTGGATAATTTAAGGTGGAAGAGCAGAACCGCGGCATTCTTTCCCTGTGCCGAGTGAAGGAGGGTATATTGCATGTCAGGATGTTATACTGCCCCAGCTCAGCAGAGCCTCGCTGCCGACGCTAGAGATGGGACGTAAAGATATTTGGACTTTGCCTGATTTTATTTGGGTTCTTTCCTTGTCTTTTTGAAAGGATGAAAGTGGTTAGGGATGGAATAATTTTGCCTAGAGGAACTTCCACCTGCAGAGAAGTCTAGACTTCTCTACTCCCAGCACCTCCCGAAGGATTTAGCATGACTCCTGTCTTGTCGCCTGTCTCCGGCCACTATAAAGGAAGCTCCAGAAAACACCGGGAGTCCTGGAAGGCTGGAGCCCTAAGATTTAGCGGGGTGACGGGTGCTCCGCAGGAACAAAATTGACAAATCACCTGCTGAGCCTTGGCTGGCTCTGACACCCCGTTGAACTAGGCGCTGGAAGGCAAGGCCCACGTTCTCTGGGACACAGTTGCTAGCTTGAGGACTGGGGTCCGTTTTCCCAGAAAAGAGCCGAGCACATGCAGGAGTGCGCTGTGCCTGAGGCCTTTCCCAGCACCTCCTGCAGCTAGGCCATGGGTACAGGACCCTGGTGTATCCAGTGGAACTTTGGAAAAAGTCTGTCAGAGGCCCCGGGAAGAGCTTGGAAGTTTTTGGTTCTCCTTTGTGAATGACGTCGGCTAAAATGCTCCTGAAAAACTATCCATTCTAGCTTGGCTAAGCCACTTCCTTGGGTGCAGACCAGAATTCAGGTGCAGGCTTTGTGTCGGGTTTGTAGGACTGTCATTCAGAGGTACCACATCCTGGGCTGCTTAAGCACCGGAAGTGGATCTTCTCACAATTTTGAACCCTGAAAGTCTAAAATTCAGGTGTTGGTGGGATCCTTTTTAAAAAAATTATTAATTATATTGGTAAATTTAAGTTATACAATATAATGACACTCATCATTGGAAATTTGCACCTTTACATAATCTCTCTTGGTTCTTATTTTTCCCCCTT